AATGTGAAGATGTGATAGGAAATGCAGGCCAGAGATGGAAGGTTTTGTTTGAAGCTGCGAATAGACCCTTGATTTCGAAGCTTTGAAACCCTTGTTTCCCTATCTTCTCAAAACTCCCAATTTTCACCTGTTCATGGCCTGCTTTTCACTTTCCCACAGTCAGGTCTTTTCCCCTTCCATACTGGGGAATGTCCTATAGGCTGGCTAGCCACTATCCATAGAGTCCCTGCTTCCCAGAAGCTGGATTTTGCTGCCCTCTGCTGACTAAGTGAAAAAAAAACAACCACCACCAAATACTGGCCCTTTACCTTCAAATGAATTCAGAATTTATTCAGTGCCTATTTCGTACGGGTTCCTTTGTTGGGCATTGGAGGAGTGGAGATCAAAGAAATCATAATCTCTTCCCTCAGAGAGCTGACAGTCTAAAAGGTGATGAAAGACACATAACACATAAATAATTAGTCATTCAACATACATTTAAGACTTCAATGAATATAAAAATAATAATAATAATAGCTAGCAATTATATGGCACTTTAAGGTTTGCAAAGCACTGTATGAATATCATCTCATTTGATCCTGACAACAACCCTGCAGGATAGGTGCTATTATTATCCCAATTTTATAGGTGAAGAAATGAGCAGACAGAGATTAATTGATTTGCCCAGGATCACACAGATAGTAAATATCTGAGGCTGTATTTGAACTCAGGTCTTCCTGACTCCAGTGTTTTATCTACTTCATCCCTGAATTTTCCTGTGTCTATGTCATGTAAGGGAGAATCGAAAACTGTGCTGAAACTAGGAGTACATTTATTCATCACTCCTTCCTTACCTATGTGACCCGTCATTTTGTCACAGAAGAAAATTAAATTTGCTTTTCCCCAAATCCTGCCTATGTTCTTTTCAAAGCTGGTTCAATTGATGGTTTGACTTTTTGAGCTAATGCCTTCCCAGATTTTCATGTTAAGATAACTTGTCTATAAATACTAAGGTCAGTTCTCAACCACCTTTGCATTCCCACTTAACTCAGGCCCTCTTGTCTGGGTTGTGATGACAGCTTCCTAATTCTCATATCTGCCTGCTTCTCTTTTATCCTTCATACCTACCACTGCCCACTTATTCTTACTGATGCCTAGGCATATCCCTCCCTAGCTGAATCTACAGGGCCTTATTCCTGAGTGCTGCTTTCAAAGCCCTCCCTAGTCTGGACCCACCCTGCCTTTCTAGCTGCATCTCACCCTGCTTCACTTAGTGCATTCTTTGTTACTCAGTTTGCTACACTGACTGTCCCCTGCCCCTTTCAGACCCTGCACCTCTGCCTGCAATGAATTTCTCTTTTTAACTTCTTAACCTCTCCGACTTCTCCTTTTGAAATATTTTACTTCCATGAAGATCCAGGTCAGGTACAACTTCCGCTAGGAAATCTTCCCTGACTTCCCTTTTCAGCTGGGAGTAATCTCTCTTTCCTTCAATCTCTCATCATATTTTGGCTACTTTGCAGTTACCACATTCTAATTTATTTTGTAGTTAATTATCCCTCCTAAATTGTAAACTCTTGAAGTATGCCATTTTTCATCTTTGTATATCCAACTCAAGTTAAGCACATGGTAGACACATAGTAAATGCTTGTCGCCTGTAGTGAAAGAGACCTATATGTATACTCTCAAAGTACAGCTTTTCATTTTAGCACTTACTAGTATTGTGAGTGACCCAATTCTAATTGACAATGTATCTTTATTATTTGTTGAGTTTTTTAAAGGGGCATAACCTCTGTCTTCTCCCCAGAGTTCAAGGCTCTTGTCCTTGATGCTTCCTCAGAAAAGTGATTGTAAAATTTCCCTCCTTCATTGCAGGTCACTGAGTAGATTCTATTCTCTTGTTCTTTTATGCTTCCTTTTCTTATTATTTTGGCTCTCCCTGCTCATCTTGGTCTCCTCCCCCCTTGAGTTTTCATTCTTTCCTTATGAGCAAGGTTAATTTTCATAAGCTATTCACATTTTATCCTTTATGCAGAGACAGAAGTAAAAAAGAGACTAAATGCTTTTGCCTTTCCAAGGACTTCTCTTTTATTAGCTTTTCTTTCCTGTCGATGAGGGGTGGGACCACATGTTCTCTTTATCTTTTTCTGTAGTACTACATATATGGAAAACTCCCCTAGATTCTGGAGAGTTGCTTCTCCGTACCAGTGTCAGCTTTTCTAATTTTTATAGGATCATAGGATTTAGAGCTAAAAGGGACCTTAGAGGTTATCTAGTATAATACCTTCATTTTACAGATGAAGAAACTGAGGCCCAGAGACAGGAAGTGATTTGTCCTAGGTTACTCTTGGGATGCCTCTCCATTCCCATGTCTACCTATAGGAATCCTAGATTTGGATTGCTAGAGATAGAAGGCAGTCATAGAAATAATATGATCTAACCCTGTCATTTTGTAGAAAAAGAAACTGAGGCCAAGAAATGGAGAAATATTTACCAAGGGTCACACAGTAGAACACAGTTTTTCTCTCACTGAATCTAGGACTCTTCCCACTATGCCATACCATGTTACAAATCTTAGACTTGTAAGGAAAGTCAAAGATCACCCAAGCCAGGATCACCCACATCCTACTGCTGTACCGCTTCCCTGAGAAAAGGTTATCCAGCCTCTTCTTGAACACTTCCAGTAACTGGAGGTTTACTATCTTGTCTGAATCATACCACTTCCCAATCCCTCCTTTCCAATCAGAAATAATCTTTCCTTCCTTGAAACTTTCATAATATTCTGTACTTCTTTTGTGTACTTTAACAGGCTACTTTCATTACAGTTATTTGTGTTCTTTTCTCCTCTCTCCCACCAAACTTTTTAAGTTAAATTAAATTTATTTTTTGTTATACTTTTAAGTTCCAAATTTTATCCCTCCCTCCTTTCCTACTAAGCATTAGAGAAGGCCACCATTTCTTTCTTCCTCTCTCTCTGTCTCTCTCATGCATGCATGCACATGCATGCACGCACATTTGTGTATATATATATACATATTTGAAACCATACTATGCATACTTCTATTTATCAGTTCTTTCTCTGGAGGTGTATAGCATCTTCCTTCATAGGTCCTTTGTAGTTGTTTTGAGTATTTATAATATTCAGAATAGCTTGGTCATTCAGTTTTTCTTTGAACAATACTGCTATTACTCTATACAACATTCTCTTGGTTCTGCTCATTATATCATACAAGTCTTTCCATCTTTTTCTAAAATCAACCTGCTCTTCATTTCTTACAGTACATCTCCCACCAAATTTTAAGCTCACTAAGGTCAAGGAGTGAATCTTAGCATCTTATGTAGCTTTGCATGTCCCTCATTGTATGGTATAGTAAGTGTTTTGTAAATAAATAGCAGATGCTTAATATGTGTCAAATTTACACTTGAAGTGAATTTTTAAAATTTATTTATTTATTTTAGGCAATTGGGGTTAAGTGACTTTCCCAGGGTCACACAGCCAGTAAGTATCAAGTGTTTAGTCTGAAGCCAGATTTGAACTCAGATCCTCCTGACTTTCAGGGCTGGTTCTCTATCCACTGTGCCTGCCCCTGAAGTGAATTTTAAAAGATCAAATCAGTAATAAATAAAATGGTTCAAAAATATACAATTCAAGTTATAATGGGCTTTTCCTCCTTATTAAAACATTTATAAGATGGCATTTGAATCTAGATCTTTAATTCCAAATCTCTTGCTCTTTCCATTATACCACACTGCCTTTAGGTTGTTTTATAGTCATTTAGTCAAGCAACACAAGTAGAATCCTTTATTTCAATTAGCAGTTCTTTAAGTTGTTGGTAAGGAAATCAGAGAATCTTCCATTATACTTAGTTTATTTGAATAACAATCAAAAAAGAAAAGCATAATCCTGATAGTTATATTATTGAGTGTTTCTGTTTAAGAAATTCCTGGCAAAATATTTTTTATAAATTATAGTTTATCATATGATAAATGGGTTCTATTTGGAAACATCTGTTTGAAGTCAATTTAAGCTTGGAAAATGGTGGTAGTGTCCAACTTCATGGAATGGGCTGTCTTATGAAGCAGCCGGTGGAGCAGTAGATAGAGCACTGGGCCTAGAATAAAAAAGACATGAGGTCCACATTAACTGTGTGACCCTGGACAAGTCATTAACCTTTATTGCCTCAGGTTTCTCAACGGTAAAATGGGGATAATAACAGCACTTACATTGCAGTGTTGTGAAGCTTGAAAGACATTTGTACAAGTGCTTAGCACAGTGGCCAGCATATATTAAATGCTATATAAATACTTGTTCCTCTCCCCTTCCTTTCTTTTATGAGGTATTTAGCTTGCAGGCCCTGGAAATATTCAAGCTAAAGCTGCGTGACCACTTGTCAGGGATATTATAAAGAGGAGTCATGCTTTAGGTGTGGGTTTCACAGGGTCACCTGTGCCATTGCTGTGATTAGGAAGAGCTGTAAAATGACTGAGAGTCAGCTTGGTAGATAAGAGGGATGGAGAGAAAAAGAGTAGATAAAGGGGTAACCTTGGGGTCAGGGAAACCTGAGTTCAAGTACTGTGTCTCTCTTCTACTGGCTGGGTGACCATGGATGAGTCACTTCTCCTCATAATGCCCCACTTAACTCTCTAAGATAAAAATTATAGATGAACTGTTGATCTGCATTGGTACAGGGAAATTCTATACCAGGAGTTCCCAAATTTATGAAGTTACATGACCAAACCAAAACTATAAAGGAGAGAGTTCTCTTATTGAATGTTGTCAGGCAGAGAACAAATAGGCTAATGATCACTTATCAAAGATTTTGCAGAAAGTATTCATGCTTCAGGTGAGGATTGAGCTAGCTGACTTCTGAGAGGTCCCTTTTATTTCTAAGATGGCTGCTGGAATGACCATGAGATCCCTTTCCCTCGAGAACCGTAGAAGACATTTGGTGAGGGAATCAATAACTAGTTAATGTTTTATTGATTCATTCTAAATCTCTTCTTTTGTCTTTCTGCCACAGGGAACACACTGAGTAACCTGATTATGATTCTACCTCCAATCTGTGGTGCCATTCAGACAGTCAGAGATGGACTGGAAAAGCGGTACACAGCTTCCTATTTGGCTCTTACAGGTATATTTGGGTATTACAGGTATGGGTGGAGCTTCCCATGAAATGATCATCCTCAGCACTGGCATGTTCTTTTTGTTTTTCCGTCTATAAAAGTAAATGGTCACACTTTGGCATTGGGAGCCTATTAAGCAAAAACTAAGGCTCATGTTTTCGTGTGCATAAATGAAAACTTTGATATGGATTTCCAGGTGGGGTTGGTCTGGTTTTTTGGGTTTGGGGGTTTGTTTGTATTTTTGTTAAAGTAGATGGATACCTATATGCTGAGGCACTTTCTATGATAGTAAAATGAAAATTTTCTGGCCTTCAGTCACTGATCCAGCCCGACATGAGTTTAGAAGACTGTAAATAAAAAAAAAAAAGACTGTAAATAAGGTTCTTTATGCAGATTTACAGAAGCCTTCTTGAGAAGTCCTCAATCACTACCAAATAGCTTAATACCATTGCAGTTTTGAAACTGTGGCATGTACTCAAATAAACAAACAAGGAAATGAAAATCTCAGAGGAATTAGGTCAACAGGACATTTTTTCTTAGCTACTATCTCTTTCTCCTTTTGGGGTCAGACACATAATCATATACTCTGATCTGGAAGAGTCTCAAGGACATCAGTTAGCAAGCATATACCCGCCATGTACCTGATCTGCCTGCTGGGAGGTACAGTAACAAAAACAAACTGCTCTCAAAGAGTTTACGTTCTTATCTGGGAAAACAACATTTGCACATATAAGTAAATACAAGTAGGTACATAAATACAGAGAGGGGAGGGCAGGGGAGGAAGGGGACTAAAGAAAGATCTTGGGGCAGCTAGGTGGCGCAGTGGATTGAGCACCAGCCCTGGATTCAGGAGGACCTGAGTTCAAATCCGGCCTCAGACACATAACACTTACTAGCTGTGTAAACCCATCGCCTAGCCAAAAAAAAAAAAAAAAGAAAGAAAGAAAGAAAAAGAAAGAAAGATCTTATGTGGGAGATAGCGCTTGAGCTGACCTTTCAAGGGAGCTTTGGTGATGAGAGAGTGCACTGCAGGCATACAAAGACATGGAAATGGAAGCTGGAGTGATATGAGTAAAGAGAACAGCAAGGAGACCAATTTGGCTAGAGTGTAGGAAGGGGAATAGTGGGTAATCAGCCTGGAAAGGTACACTAAAGCCAGATTGGTAAATTTCATCCTATTAGGAGTCTCTGGAGCTTTTTTGAGAAGGAAAGAGACATGGTCAAGCCTGTGCTTAAGGAATATCACTTCAGTGATATTCTCTGTGGAGAATGTATTGTAGAGGAAGAGGAGAGACTTCAAGCAGAGAAAGCAGTTAGGAGGCTATTGCGGTAATCCAATCTGTTTCAAAAAAGGAGCCCCCAACACACATCCTTGAAAAGTTGCCATCTAGACTAGAAACAATTGTTGGCTAGGTGTGGTGGCCAGTCTTCTGGTGATGAGCCTTTTTGAACTGAGTCAGGCTGTTCGTCAGGCAGGAGACTCATAGTCCATCATGGGACAGCTCTTTCAAACCTTTTCTTCCCTCCTCAAACCACAGCTGCTTCTCTCTCAACCATCTCAGATAAGAACCTTTGTTCATGTTTCACTGAAAAAAAAAAAAAGCAAAAACCTGAGGCCATTCGCTGAGATCTCTCCTCCGCCATCTCACAATACTCAGGTTCTTTCTGCCACTGTCACCCTTCACTGCTGTTTCACATGAAGACATAACAAGGTCAACAGTGACATTCACTAGCATTTAACAAGTATAGTATGGATGAACAGCCCCAAAGTCATATAAGTGATTCTTTGTAGGCATGGTCTTAATGTGGAGATAAACTAGAAAAGACGTCCTGGGACTTCTTTTGAAGGCTTTGAAGCCTTGTTTTGAATAAAGAGCCCTATATTTTCCCCAAGGGGCTTGAAAGTCAAGTGATTCAGGCTCTTGTCTCTGCTGTGCCACCACATAGAAGTGTATGACTTCCTCTCTCTGGATCAATCCTCTATAAATATCAGGAATTGTATGAAGTCATCTCTAATGCCCCTTCTTCTTCTAACATTCTTTGTTCTTTCTATATTCTAATTTTCTTTGTTCTAGGGTCCCTTCCAACTTTAAAATTCTATAATCAGTAGTCATTTCTAACTTCAGTTCCAACATCCCTTCAGTGAAAAAATGAAATTGACAACCAGGAAAATAAACTAAACTATAAAATAGATGAAACAAATTAGAAAGTAAAAAGAAACATAGCAAAAAATTTGATGCCTCTTCACAATTCAAAACCAAAGCAGGAAGGTACTGAAGGGGTAAAAGCACAAAGACACAGTAACTTCCTGAACAAAAGGACCATTGGAAATTCTTTAAATGGAGGAACTTTAATTGATTAATTTCAGTGTGATGGTACCTGTAATCAACCACTGTCTCCTGACTGAATCAGACTAATATAAGACTAATCAGAAATGATCTGAACGTGCTGTGCCCTTCTGTCCAGAGAACATGTGGAAGAAGCTTTAGTACAGAGCATAAAAGACTAATAACCTTTAAAATTCCAGCAATTACTGTTAGTAATGAAAGAAAAATAAAATCAATGTGCCGTGGTGACAAGGGCCTTCTGAAATAGTTTGTGAAGCTTTCTAACCTATTTATTTCCTTTTTTATCTGATTCTGACCACTGGACACTGAATCAGTGAACGACAGTTCACTCATTCAGCCCCTGAGGAAAATACAAGGAGAAATAATCAGAAAACCATAGAGCTGCTAAGGGTCTTAGGGATAGATCACCTGATCACAGAATCTCTCGGTAGTGAAAGGAACTTCCAAGGCTCTCTGTTCTGGCTTATACTTGAACAAGAATCTCCCTCTGTAACATATCTTATAGGTGGTCATGTAGCTTGTACATGTCCAGTGGCCTCCCATTTGTAGAACTTTAATTATTAGTAAATGTTTTCTCATATCAAGCCAAAATTTACTTCTTTGTAGATTCCATCCATTTTTTCCACATCTGCTATCTAGAGCCAAACAGAACAAATCTAATTCCTATTCCATATGATAGTCCTTCAAGACAGTCCTCTTGTTGTCCCCCAACATCCTGACTCTTCTCTTCTCCAGGCTAAGCATTCCTAGTTCCTTCCACCGTTACCATGATTTTGAGTCCTGGTTCAGAGAAAGGATAGGTAGTCTCACTGACTAAATTCTCCAGAGAAAGTCAGTCCCAAAGTGGTCAAAAGCTCTTAAGAATCCTGGAGAGGGGCAGCTTGGTGGCGCAGTGGATAGAGCACCAGCCCTGGAGTAAAGAAGACTCAGAGTTCAAATCCGGCCTCAGACACATAATACTTCCTAGCTGTGTGACTCTGGGCACATCACTTAACCCCAATTGCCTCACTAAAAAAAAAGAATCCTGGGGAAAGGAGTGTGGAAAAATAGGGATACTAATATACCGTTGGTGGAACTGTGAACTAATGCAATCATTCTGGAGAACAAGTTGAAACTGTGCCCAAAGAATTATAAAACTGTGTATACCCTTTGACCTGGCAATACCATGACTAGGTCTTATATCCCAAAGAGATCAAACAAAATGGAAAAGGAACTATTTATACAAAAATACTTATATCAGCTCTTGTCGTGATGGCAAAGAATTGGAAATCAAGGGAATGTCCATCAATTGGGGAATGGCTAGACAAGTTCTAGTATATGATTGTGATGGAATACTATTCTGCTATGAGAAATGACAAAGGGTGGGGGGTGATTTCAGAAAAACATAGCAAGATTTATATGAACTCATGCAAAATGAAGTGAACAAAACCAGGTGGACACTGTGCATAGCAACAGGAATTTTTTTTTTAAGTTTTAATGTTCCATTTTTTCCAGTTACTTGTAAAACAATTTTTAACCTTTTTTTATAATTTTGACTTCCATATTCTCTCCCACCGTCTCTCCTCTCTCCCCTCCTTGAGAAGGCAAGCAATTTAATACAGGTTATACATATGCAGTCATGCAAAACATATTTCCATATTAGTCGTTGTGAAAGAAATCATAGACAAAAAAACCCAAAAGGAATAAAGAAAATCAAAAAGCAGTACACTTTGGTCTGCATTCAGATTCCATCAGGTCTTCTTCTAGAGGTGGATAGCATTTTTCATTTTAAGTCCTTTAGAATTGTCTTGAATCTTTGTATTGCTGAGAATACCTAAGTCATTCTCGGTTGATCATTGTACAATATTGCTATTACTGTGAACAGTGTTCTCCTGGACAGTAACAGTAGTATTGTAAGGATGATGAACTGTGAAAGACTTCGCTACTTTGATCAAGACAGTGACCCAAGACAATTCCAAAGGACCCATGATGAAAATTGCTATCTGCTTCCAGAGAGAAAAATGATGAAGCATAAATGCAGATTGAAACATACTTTTTTTTACTCTATTTTTATTCTATTTTGTTTTTGTTTTCTTTTGCAACATGGCTAATATGGAAATATATTTTGCATGATTTCCCATGTATAATCAATATCAAAATGCTTGCCTTCTCAAGGAGGGAAGAGGGGCAGGAGGGATGGAAAGAATTTGGAACCCAAAATTTTAAAAAAATTATTGTTAATTTTTTTCACATGTAATTGGGAAATATTTAACAAAATAAATAAAAATAATTTTTTTAAAAAAGGAAGAAAAGAAAAACCACTACTAGGTCTGTATCCCAAAGAGATCAAAGGAAAAGGACTTATATGTACAAAAATATCTGCATCAGCCCTTTTTGTGGTGGCAGAGAACTGGAAATGGAGGGGATGCCCATTAATTGGGGAATGGCTGAACAAGTTGTAGTATATGGTATATGGTGTGGTATATGGAGTACTGTTGTGCTATAAGAAATGATGAGGGGGGTGGTTTCAGAAAAACATAACAAGAACCTATATTATTTGATGCAAAGTGAAGTAAGAAGAACTGGAGAATCATTGTGCACAAAACCAACAATGTTGTAATGAAGATCAACCGTGAAAGACTTGACTACTCTGATCAAGACAATCCCAAAGGACTCACGAT